CGATTGCCGTCCTTCACATGGACGATCAAGGATTTCAGAGCACCTGGGGAGGTGAAGCTCTTGAGTCGTCTCGAATCGGACTTTCTCAAAGTTTTCAAGACTTGGGAAACGCGACGTTGACGACGTCCTCCCTTTCCTTCTATTTCCCCTTCACGGCTTGGACCACACTGGAAAACGGAACTCGGATCCAAACCGGACTGGAACACAGGGTACTGCGAGAACTCCAAAAACCTCTCGGATTCCACCTGGTACACCGTCTTCCGTTCGACGGTACTTGGGGTGGGATCAGTCCGAACGGCACTTACATCGACGGGATCGTGGGGGATGTTTTCTACGGAAGGGCGGACGTGGCGTTCGCTGACCTCTACTTTATGTACGACAGGTCCCAGACTCTGGACATGCTCGTCTACGACTACGAATGCACCGTGATTGCCGTGCCCTGGCCGGAACTCCCCAGCTGGCTCACACTCATCAACGTCTTCGAATATCGGGTAAGCTCAGACAAACTTTTTCTCTCGTTTATCCTTTTTTTGCGCGAGCGGGATGTTCCGTTTCATTTCTCGTTCGAGGCATATATAATTTTTTTTAATGCAATCATCCCATGCGCTGAAGTTGCCTTTTTTCGATTCGACGGTTTTCGTGGAGTTGTACGAAGAGTGTGCAATGAAGGTCAAAAGTAAATTTGTTCATGAGAACACAAAAAATGGGCTACAATACCGAATGGCATTCACCGACAAAATTTTCAGATGTGCGCCTTGTTTTGTTTGGTTTTCCTCCATTCCAAGCTACATGACGTGGACCAATTCGAATCCTGACATGATTAGAGTAACATTCTCAGATGCGATGCACTTTCACCGTTTCAAATCGAGAGTCAAACAATTCAGATTCGCGAACGACCAGCTAATCACGCAATAGAGCAACAACAATCTGGACATCTCTTTGCCTTCCTCGACCATAACTCGCTCTTTGACGGGGCCGGGAGCCACCTGCTCTAACAGGAGTTTGCTATTCAGCTGAAAGGAACAGACCTTTGTTTCGCGGGTCCAGACATTGCAGTATCACCCCCCCCCTCCCCCCAGGCGAATGAGAAGGGTGGCCATAGTCGCCAATGGGGAAGGAGCGCTTCGCCGAGGAACGAAGAGACAATGTTAACCTGAAGTATATATAGATTCCTTGCTGTGAGGAAAGCCAAGCCATTATACTCTCTAATTAGAATTCTCACTAAATATCGTCATTTCTGGTCACAACAGAGGGTTAGAAATTTCGTGCGGGAAGATCATGATGGTGAAAGGACTATCTCTGACACAGGTGTGGATCGTTTTGGGCTTCTTTATTCTCGTGGTAATCTTCACCAACAGATTCGTTCTATGGAGGGCAAGTGAATTCGGAGCGAAACCCCTATCGACCCTCGAGGTGATAGCGGTGCTCCTCATACGACAGACACCCAAGAACTTCAACGTCTACAACGCCTCCACGAAGGTCTTCATCACCGTCGTTTCCTTCTTCGCGCTCATCGTCAGCACCAACTACACCAGCGAGCAACTGTCCCAGTTCTCCGTGATCAAGAAGATGAGGCCCATTTCCAGCTTCGAAGAACTCGCCGCCGGCAGATTCCCTGTCCTACGGAGTGGAATGCTGGACATCTCGCTCAACAACGAGGCCGGGAAAAGATTTCAGGCCCTGAATAGCTGGGGTCTGAAACAGTACCCTATGCCGGACGAGGCGCTAGCGTACGTGGCCACAGGAGATTCGGCATACTTCGATTCGGGGACGGTCTTGAAATTCTATCAATTCCTCAAATTTACTGATTCGCGCGGACAGTCACCCGTGTTCATCCCGGAGGAATGCGTTCAGGTGAGAAAAAAACATGAAAGTTGAATATGTGACATGCACCAAGTGATTCTTGCTTTTTCACTTCATACCGGAACCCTTCCTTACGAACACATGAAATCACGTCCTTAACTTTTTTTAATTCTAAAGGGTACACGTCATTCAAAACTCCTCCCAAATACTAATTTCGCAAATGTTCATTACCCATGCATATTTTTCCTCCAACAGAGATACTTAGTAGGATTCGTGATTCCACGCCATGCGTACTTTAAGGACCTGCTGAAGCGAGCCATATCGGGGCTGCAGGAAGGAGCGCTGATCCCACAATGGTGGAAGGAACTGCTGGAGGAGGAGAGGAAGGCCAAGCTCGAAGAGATTGCACTCACCCAGGAGAGTGCAAAGCCACCGAGGACGCTGAAACTCATGCAGCTGGCATGGGCCTTCCTGTCACTCCTAGGCGGATATGCTTTCTCCCTTCTCGCATTCATCTTTGAGATTCTACTGGCGAAGATGAAGAAGGGAACTGCTCTCCACTAATCTCAGAACTCTCGCTCCCAGCACTTAAACTAATCAAATGCATTTTCATTTACAGTTAAGAAGACATGACTGCACTGTAGGACTACCAGTGAGCACATGAGTCTAAAATGAAACTAAAGTACTGTATATCTGTGAAATAATATTGCGAAGAGAAGAAATTGCCACTGATACTGTGGTAATTGGAAGAATGGGCTATTAGTTGTTTGACTTGTAATTATTAATACTTTGTATGTCGTATGCCCTGCTCGAAAATGGAATGTATTTCTTCACAAAATTTTTTTTTATGCCCAGGGAAGCAACAGATGAGAATAACACCCGTATACACGATGAAAAACGTGATTATTTCTAGCTAATTATGCGTGAACGTACCGGAAGAGTTCTGGGACGGCGATCACAGTGCAGTCGCGGTCGAAGATGATCACGAGTCCCGAAACAAATCAGGCAATTATTTTCACCACTAGAATGGAACTTCTCTTTGATCCAAATCAGGGATAAAAATCGTGATTTCTTGAATGTAAATGCTGAGATGTCCAACTTGAATAAAGAAGGACCAGTCTAATAAAGCCTTTATGTGACTTTCATATATCTGGGTTGATCCAAAATGATGAGAATTTGATATATCTCTGCAATTTTAACACGTTTTGAGTTTGAAAAATAGGAGAATCAATTATCAACGACTGCTACGGTAAAATAATTTTTTTGCATTCGGGTTTAAATTCAATTCTTTTCCAGCATCATTTGTTAGTGCGACGCCTGGGGCACACCGAATAGAACTTTAAATCGGGAAATGACAATTTTTTTTTCAAGTTTTACAATAGCAGTTGTTCATTGATTCTCCTGTTTTTCTAACTTCTGTTAAAATTGCATATCCTTTTAATATGAAAGTCTCTACTTTAGGGTCAACCGAAATATGGCAAACGCCACAGTTTTTGGCCATGCTGATACGACTCCCATAGGAAGTGGACACCCTGTGCTCACACCGGGAAACACTAGTAATAGGTTCTCATATGGCCAGATTAACTAATTATGCTCGATTTAGGCTTCACTTGCCATCAATTGGAGAACGGCCAGAAGCCGGGGTGCTTAACCTTTGTGTGAATGTGCTGTGTGGGAACAAACTAACTACGTGTGTCTCTCAGCCCCCCCCCCTTGATTTGATTAGATACTGAGCATAAGTGACCAACAGCCTAATTTCCAAATTTGACTAGCATTGTTCTGACCCCAGCCATGATGGAACCAAGGTCAAAGTTGAGAAGCAGTGCAGCTCCAAAATCATACCTAGACTATTTCAGACAAGTACTTGTGAATCTGGTTATGAATATATTCTGTCATGAGTTCCATCCTATCATAAACTGATGTCATAACCAGTCACAGGGAATCTGAATAATTTGATTCACATTCAGCTATCAACCACTTGTTGTTCACGAGAGGAGGAGCAGCAACTCACCTTCCAAATTATGAATCTGCATAATGCACCAAGGATAATGCATAATGTACTGCAACACCTCAAAGTTAGACAGAAACCAGAATACCAAGTATGTTATGCATGGCTCTTTGCATTAATATCTCAGGATATTAATGCAAAGAACAAATATCTGGTACTTATGAGGAAAATGAAGGTTCTGGGGTAATTAAATTAAGATAACCAAAATGACTAAGTACCAAGAAGATTGTTCAGCACAGACTACTTTCTCCACTTAATGTTGTCCATGCTTTTACATGGATGGCTCCCCACAACACTTTTGAAGTTGCATTTGAAAGCTACATTTCCTTTTTGGCGGTACAGGTATCAACAGAGATTTAAAATAAAAAGTATTATTTAGCCTAAAGTCATTGACAGCTGGGGTTTAGGTACCAATATTCAGGGTGAATCAAAAGTCTGTTGTCATATAGAAATTTCTTTTTTCCTGGTAAATGGTAGAAATACCTGAAGACAAGTACACACTGTAGCAGAAAGTGGAATTCAAGGCCTTCCACATCGTTTCCTAACTTCAACGATACCGGTTTCCTTCAACTGCCACATAATTTTTTATGCAGCACATTGACTTGGTTCAGGATTGTCTGGATGCCAACAGAGGAAATAATCTCACATGCACACCTCTGGCTTAACTCTTTCATTGTATAGTAGAATTGACATAGGTTAGGAAGGACTAGCCACTGAAAAAACCTACCACTACAGCGATAGAGTTAATCCTCCTACATGGAGAACTAATTCTATATTCTCTTGCAGTGTGCACTTGTCTCCATGGCAGCCCTACCTTCACACCACTTCCCTTTCTTCTCTCCCAACCAACCCCGATCACTGCTACAAAAGACGCAGTTTTCACCTAATCAAACTGTCAATTTTTTCTCCCTGAAAAATACATAAGAATCTGCCACTGGCAGCTGATTGAGTTAAAGTACCCAGCAGCACTGATGATTCCCTGATTATCCTCAGTAACAGGAAAAGGTAAGGTTGAAAGGGGATGCTTCTTTCTTGCTCAGGCTTAAACTTTAATTCCATGAGGAACCCATGAGATGAATGTATAACACAGGACGAAAAAACAGGACTAATACGAGGATGAGGAGAGTTGAACTCTTTGTGAGTACTAAGTTGAAATTGTTCTCTGTTATACATAGTTGGTAAATAACCCTTAATTAATAAAACAACGGTGTCGGGAGGCAGCAGCAGAGGCACCTTGCTGCTTGGTTTTCTTCTTCCGCAACTGGTTGATATCCCTGAATCCATTCCTACAAAAAGAAAAGGCTGATGAATAATCTGCACATGAAAATTTCATTTTCAGACCTTATGAAGCAATTAGTCTATTCACAAAGGTCAAACATTTCCCGATCATCCTTTCTTAAGAGAAAGATTGGATACTACAAGGATCAACCAAAAGTAATATCTCTGATTTTATACACCACAAACTATAGGTGGCATAAGCTCAATAATGCACAGGCAACAACTTTCCAAAGTCCTCCCATTCCTTGCCAGGTTTCATTATTCCTAACCAGAAAAAAAGTCACTGCAATGGCAATTCAAAATGGTGGATTGCACTGACGACAGTTTCAACAAGATAGCAGTGACTGAATAGCTAGCAGTAGACATTCATGATGGAAGGAAAGTATTTCTTTTAATGGTGATGCATGTACTCATGAGTCTTGTGTATCAATGGGTGAGTCAAGTGAACTGTGATTTAAAAAAAAAACTAAGAATACTTTTTGGCAATACTCACTTACTCAAAGAATTCAATTGCTGTATTCTTTTTGTGATGGTCACCAATAAACTCCAAAATTTGGAATTACCATAATCACAGAGCTTTCTGAGTAAAAATCATGAATAGGAGGATATATTTCCCACAACAACGTGTGAGACAAAATAAGACGTTTACTTTACTTTTGGGGTGACTCGCCCTCACAGAAGGACTCACCGGAATCGACGATGAACAAGCTTCAGGTGTCTTAGTCTGCCAGTGCCAGTGGTCTTCCTTCGCTGTGCTTTCTCACTCCAATTATCTAAAAATAAAATAACAATATAAAACTTCCAAACAGTTAACAAAAATTAAGACAATGGTTAAATATTGCAATGTCTTCCTCAAATTGCAAAAATCACAATGATACCAGGACCCCACCTCCATAATTTTACTTTAGAAAAGTTCATACTGAAGTGCATGTACAGGTCCTCATACAAGGGCTAATGATTCTATGCAAGGAGTGAACAATGCATACAGAAAAATAAATACTCAATTCATTGCTCCCTGAAGATGAATGGAAGAGCTATTCTATCATTCCAGGCTAAGATATACTCAAAATTATTATCTGGCAGGAGCATAAAGTCTAACCTATTATTGCCATAGAAATAAAAAACCATTGGATTTAAAGGGTTCACAAGGTTTACCTTTGTAGTTTATAAGGCTATGCTCCTGACATTACCACAGCCCCAAAAATATTCTATGACAAGAATAAAGGTGGGCTTAGGGTAGCTTCTATATCATTTGAAAACATTCAATCACTTCAAAAGTAGTAAAAAAATAATATATAAATCACAGTTCCACGGATTATCAGGGTTATAACCTTCCTAAAACTCCACTGTTTGACATTCCTGAAAAACCACAGAAGTAATAAGCAGCAAAGGATGCACCTAACCTCTACTGACATTGGGGTTACCTACTATGGAAGTTTCAACATACATTCATAGACACTGTTGAATATGATACATTAATCAACAGGGTTCACACTAGCTTTTTTAAATTTTGAGTCCTGGCACCTAGCTTCAGCCCAGTGGGTGGTGGTTGTTAGAGTCCCACAGACTTAGATGTTTTGCAAATATGAGTCGAGGACTCACAATAGTGAGTTAACGTGAACCAAAATCTTTGGAGAGCTTGAAATCTATCAAAGTGAAATGAATCATCCTGAAGGCTCCCTTCCCCATACACTAATACTTCCATGATGAAATTTCTTCAACTGGATGAATTAATTCAGCTGCAACAAACAATAGGGAATGGGATGCAGGAACCAGCACAGACTTCTAGCTCTTATTACCATGTCTCTCTGAGTTATTGACAGTCATGGTCAATAAACAAAAAAAGTTGTACTAATTTAAAGTGATTTATAAGAAATAGGAAAACCCATCCAAGGAAGGTTCAAGTAGACAGTAAATTACATATGATGCATATACGGAGATTGAAATTATGTGACATTCTCTGACAACCTTTTAACGACATTCAAGTTTTCATCATTACTGTTCTGCTTGCAGCCCCAGAGATACACATTTGCAACTTCCACGCCAATTCTGCACAGCATACTATAAGTACTTATAACTGGCTAAAAAATTACTTGCAGATTGTGACCAATGAAAATATACTTATGCAACTTACTTTCAACATCACTACATGGTCATCACGATAAAAAATAACTCAATCAATCTGATAAGATGTGCATCTTAAATGGGCCCTCTAAATAAATAAAAGCCAGAGAGAGTTAAGAAAAGTAGCTCATTTTTTGGACACATTTGTCCCACCTTTTTCAAAGGTTCCCATCCTCCTGATCCTGGGGCTCTGTCCTTCAAATTGAACGCCAATGATTCATCTATTACATCGGCTTGATATAAAGGATTTTACTGATACTGCATAATAACAGGTATGATGACATGGGCATCTCTGGTTGAGCCATTGTCTAAGTTAGGCCTAATTGGCGAATATTCAAACGTTTAAACAACCAAGTATATGCCACAATTTGAATGAAACCAAGCGACATTGGTCTGATCAATGGTGCGTCTATGTCACACGAATACTGTCGCGAAATCAACTCACAATGTCTAATCTTCTTCGCGGGATAGCCGCACTGAGCACATCGCGACTTCTGAATATGATACGAGGACCGACCACACCTCCGGCAGAGGGTGTGGGTCTTGTTCCTCCTCTTACCAAAGCTGGATGTACCCTTGGTCTGTAAATAGAAGACGGTCACAATGAGATCCTCTAAAGCACAACTGAGAAATATATTGGCAAAAAAAAACCTTCACAGAAACTATTCCTTCTTACCATGATGGCTAGCGATGGAGACCGGAAGGATTCTTACAGTGTTGCCGATCGCTGCCGTACATAACGACTTGGAATAGGTAGCACCGTCGCGTGAATGCAAAAGTTACGATTAGTGGTCAACAAAGATACTATAGGCTAATTTCTTAGCTTAGATTTCTGTTAAATTCTCGAAATACACGTGGGGAAATATCCTTGAAATAGTTGTGACCATGCATGGACCGAGCATCTGTTGCGTAAACACATGGGCTAACGTGAGACGGGTGCGAGGAGAGAGCGAATCATTGCGGACACGTGACGTGAACACGGTCGATTTATCGTGGTTGACTCATTGTACCCGAGTTAGGCTGCGTGCAACTTGTCGATAATTTATGGTGACTCATCTATGCTAGGAGTACCGACGTATACTGTGGCGATGTAGGTCCAAGTCCTGTCCTAAGTTATTCGTAAGTTAGTAAGGTCCAACGTCGGATTTTAGGCCTATGTCATCGTATTTTATTATTTAGCGACGCAGTTTCTGATATTTGATAGATAGTTCTGCTTCAACAGTCAGATGAAGTCGAATATAAGGCCGAGAAATTGCAGCCTTTGTCCCAAGCCTGGAAATCTCGGTTGGCCTGAAGCCTAAAGCTAGGACAGACCCGTTTGAACGTTTATTTGAAACTGACAGCCAGAATGCAACGATATGAGATGCTTGAAAGGCTGGCCCTTGGAGAGAATTCTTTAATGCACCATATCCCCAATGACCAGCTCTTGGAGCTCCCAGTGAGTCTTTGCCTTGATTTCTTGTTTAAAGATCTATTAGCCCACTAAATATTGAGTTCCTGTTGTGGAATGTATGAAACCTGTCTGCTTCATAGGATGAAATCCTGCGGCATATTTTCCAATACTTATCCATGCCCGACCTGATTGCAGCAGGGAAAGTCTGTCATCGATTTCATCAACTGGCAACAGATGATCTCATATGGAGAAATAAGTTATGGGAAAACCACATCTACAATGCATTGTCTCAGCTGAATGGAGTCCCCAAGTCCATCGATGTTGTTTTTCACGATATAGAGTTTCCTACCAATATGATGCTGTGAGTCAGATCAGGAATTGGAAGCACTATAAAATGCACATAGGGTAAGCACCCTGGGTTCTGGCTGGTCTCCAGTTGTTGGCCAGTGAGACTTAAATTCGGCATAATTAGTAAATCTGGCCGTTTTCAAGCATTCTATCAACATCTTCCCATACGAGGACCTATTACTTGTGTTTCCCAGTGTGTGCACAGGGTGTCCACTTCCAATGGGAGTTGTATGTGTGACCAAAAACTGGGGTGTTTACCCTATATACTTACATTAATCTTTTTTTCTCTGAATTTGAATCCACAGCTACCAATTCCTCCACAGCAAGTCACTCAGGAAGTCATCAAAGGACGAGTCCAGTTCGCTGTGGAAAATTCTGTGGCAGAGATTCTATTCTGTTGTCCTTGTCCATTGGCAACCTCCCCCCATGCATTCCACTACTCACTTTGGCATGTTGGAAGATCTGATTCCAAGTTTTGTGCTCTTGGGACCAGGACTTGAGGCCCCAGGAACCAAGGAGATTGTGTACTGTCTTGTCATGCAGCATTCTGTAGATCTGTGTAATGGGAGGCTGCCACAGTACACAGGCATTGGCAGGGGTCTGGGTGAGCATTTTGGAGATAAATCTCAAGAAAGATGAACTCAACAATGTTGATTTAGTTTTTCATTCCTTTTTCACAGGCTATGGTTTGATGGTGAAGGTTGGAGAGAGAAGTGTGAACATTTTGACCTTGTACAGTAACAGTCAAGGGGTGAGAGAGATTCAACACAGTGAGAGTCAGCGCCTCGTTCAGAGTCGGCTGTTCGAGCCGGTAGACAGGGAAGAAGGCTTTGCCATGAGGGAATCCATGAGGGATGTCTGCCTGGCTGCTGATGCCATCCTCTATGCTGTGGATTCCCAGAGTCAACAACTGGGTGAGTAATAGTAGTATTCTGACAAATACAGAATGGAAGATTTCCTATTTGATTGAAAAGTTTGCCCTTGCCTTTCATAGGGAGGCAGGAATTGAAGATCATCCTAGATGCCCTTCCAGACACTAAGCCTTTGGCTGTGCTTTCACTTACTAGATCAGACCCAGAATCTCAGTCAAAACACAAAAAAATTCTTGATGTCCCTCAGGAGCTTGGGCTATATGAGCGCAAAAATCCTTGGAGTGTGAGTGAATCCATATCCAATCACTGTTGAGGTTCAGAGAGACTCTAGATCAAATATCCCAGTTTTCCATACCTATGCCACTTATAACCTTGTGATTTCTTCTCCCTCTTAGGTTTCCCACACCTGCGTTGCAGACCCCTTGCCTGGAATGATTCACCCAATCGAGTGGATTGTGCAACGAAGGTCCATTCTGAGGGACACTGGACAGTTACAATGACCATTCCAAGAAAGTAATTGAGAATTGCACAACAGAGCTGACCTTTCCTTACCTTGATTTTTTGTTCTTTGAGTACCAATATGTTTTAGTTGGATCCTTTCCAACACTTGAGCTGTGATTTGACCTTGCCTTGATGGATTACCTGTGATTGATTCTCTCAGTCCACATTGCTTCATTCTGGTCCTCTCATTTATTACCATTCCTGCTCTTTCTTCTGGTCGGAATGAACGTTTATATGTGCACGACAATAAATGGATGATGTATGATAAATATATGGAGATGCACATTCTTGTTTTGATTCAAGGTGCTCTTCCCTATCGTGTAATACCAACTTTGGCTCTCAGGTATACATGTCCATTTTACAATGGTCTTCCTTCATTAGTCACAATCCCATGGTATAGATATCTGCAACATATATATATTATGAAGGGTGGGGAAGTTACTTTTAAAAGCAACCAGTTATATAGCTTTTCTGAGACAAATATGGACATAAGAAAGTCAAATGTGTCACTGTGCAAACAGCATCAAAAACAAAATAAGGAAGGTCAAATGTGTCGCTGTACTGGACACCAGACTTTAGGGAAAAGCTTGTTCGATATGAGAAAGTCTAATGTGACAGTTGAGTGATATTGTGATGTAAACTATGATACTCTCAAAATCAAACTGTTGATTTCATGGAAGATATACTACTCTTCATAGTCAAGGATGCAATTTGAACTTCTCATTTAAGTTTCCCAATGACCTGATATCCTGATGGGATGTGGAACTCTTTGAATCCTTATCATGAGTCTCATATTTGAATTGCATGAGAAGTTTGATCTCTTTCCATGAATCTTGGATTCCATTGGATACTACCTAATTTTCACTCTCATGGATTGAAATCAAACAGTCTGCATGGTAAATGAAATAGTGAAACCATATGCACATGCAAATTTGCATTTGAATATTTTTTCTACAGAAATGCACAGAGGGCATCTCTCTTGGAGCACAACCAAGAGACAAGGCCTCAAACCTGTTTAATTTGACTTTCCTTTTGTTGAACAAGCTTTTGCCTGAAATCCGACATCCAGCCCAGTGACACATTTGACTTTCCCTGTCATTCTTGACACACCCAAACAGCAAAGCAACACATATGACCTTCTTTAGTCATATTTTACTTCTGTTTGTTCATATTTGTCTTAGAAAAGCCACATTACACACACAAAATACATGTTACATTCTGCAAAAGTGAATAGCTGTCAGTAGAAGCTACAATACTTTCTATAGATGTGGTTTGGTGTAAAATTCTCATCCCACTTCATGTGTATTTCAGGCATTCACATTGAACATGATCCAGATTCTGGAGCTCAAAGGTTAATAAGTCTAAAAAACTAGAATTTTGAAAATATGCTCAAGGGAAATCATTTTCTTCTATGTTGAAAGTGATTAAAGAGATTGAAGAATGGATAACAAAATGAATTGTGTTAAGCCAGTAACTTAGCTGTCCCTTTTTCAGATTTCCATGGGAGTATCTCTCAGTTTTTAAGTTGCCTAATCACAAAGATTGTAGTATTCAATATGTACTTTAAATTTGCACAGTTTGGCTTGTATGGATGTAAGGATTGCTCAGACAATACAATCATAAAAGACTGTTACTGTCTCTCCATTGCAATAGATTAGACTTCAAATTGTATAAGAAAGGTTTGGCTACCCATGAAAGGACAGAAAAATATCAGTGAGGCTTGCTATGTATAAAGACTGATGTGCTTTTGGTTTAGGGACAGGCAAACCAAACAAAAGTTTATCTTATAATGTTTCATGGGAGTCTGCAGGTCACCCTTTTTTCTACCACCCATGCTCCAATATGAGGAGAATGTGATGTATTTTCATCCATGCTTTTCTGAGCACAAACATAAATTATTTTACCAAATTCTAGGACAGCTGGTTTAGCTTTGAAAACAAAATTCTAAAAGAAGCATGGTTATGAACCAATTCCCTCATATTCATCAAAGAGAAAGGAAAGCATCAAAGGCTGACCACTCTAGTGCCTGTAGTACTCGTGTAGAAATGATATTTTATTTTATTGTTCACAAATAAATTCGAAACTGAAGATGTCCATCATGAGCAGCTGAGAACCATGAACCAGCAAAAAGGAACTACAACTGCAGTCCCAAGACTTCAGGCCTTGATAGAAAAGTACATTACATCTTTTATCTTCTTCCGATCAGGATTAATCTTCTTGATGATGTGGGCAATGAGGGACACCAGATCATCAGAGGAAAGACCTGTCTTCTTGCTCTTGAACTTCTGCAAAAGTTCCTTTCCTGACATGGGCTTGCGCATCAAGTAGCGACGTACCGTCTCTTCTGTCAATCCGGATTCGCTACGCCAAAACAGGATATCGTTAAGCCACAAGATTTCACATTCTAAAAATTATGTATCTACAGAGATATAATGTGGGAATACCTGGCAGTTTGAAGGACATTGGGAGGCAGAATGGGTCCAGCCGAGGCAGAAGATGAGGAGTCAGTCTTGAGTTTCTTGGCTATTTGCTGCCCCACTGATTCTTCCTCAGCCTTCCTCTTTGACCCAGTCCCAGATTCACTATTTGCCTCTCCTTGGCGACTCTCTGGCCTGGATCCACTCTCACTATAAACAACAAGCAGACAAATGACTTGGTACTTTTAGCTTTCATACTTTCCTAAAGTCTCAAGTGCAGACAAAGACCTGTTTGGCTTAGAGCTCTTCTTCTTCTGTGAGTTTGTGGTTGCTTTAGCATCCACATCCAGATCTGAGCCATCAGAGCTGTTCTCTCCTGAGGAGCCTGTGAACAGAACCAAGCATTACAATGAGGAGTTCATGAATAGATGGAGGTTATTCTGGGGTAAGAAATCTACATCCAATATGTACCCCTGGATTACTCAATAAATGCAGTAAAACAATAGGCAGCAATGGAAATTATATTCCTTATCCCAGGTTATTTATGCAGGGCTAATCCATGTCTACATTAAATGACACTTCATGCAGAATATCTGTTACTATCCTTTATCAGTCACCTTCTTGAGCATCCTTCCCAGCGGAAGATGCCTTTTTCTTCTTCTTCTTCTTCTTTTTCTTGGCTGAAGATGATGGTTCACCAGCTGCATCCTCCTCTTCTTTCCCTTCCTCTTCATCCTCATCTCCCTCCTCCTTCTCCCCTTCCTCTTCCTCACTTTCCTCATCTGAGGTAAGGAGTTTTCTCATCCCATCCTCCTGATCTACACCCTTGTCATCCATTTTCTTTTCCAACTCCTCCTCACTGCATGCCATACACAGAATTTTCAAAGCAAAAAAAATCACACACCAAAACAAAAAGTATCAAACCAGAATCTCTGGAGAAAAGGATAGACAATGGTTTCATGTGACCATAAATTATTTTTATTTGACACTTTGAACCTGATACCCCTCATAAAACAGACATCCAAATTGCCAGGATTCAAAGTAGTAACCCTTTCAATTACTGTGTGCTGGAACATGCCACATATTTTAATGTGATGTTGAACTAAATTTCACAATGAAAAAGGCTATTAGTAATATCATAAAAACAGCCTCTAGGAAAGTACTACTTTGGTAAACTGATTTCTGTGGCAGAATATGAAATCTGGGAGAGATTGACTTTGGAATACTCCAACCCACTCCAGAGTAAATTAAACCATTTCTCTCCAAAGGACCAGGTCATTTTCTGAAATTTTGCTTTGGGACTCAATATGTACATTTCCTGACTTCTAAATAAATATTAAAAAAAAAAAAGGATGGAGGGAATGAAGACAAACCTTGACGAAGAGTCTGAGATGTAATCCAACTCTTGACCCTCCTCATCCCCATCATCACTCTCTTCAACTGCTTCATCATCACTTCCCTTGGGTTCTTTCTTCTTCTTGGCCTGATCTGCCAGATCAAGTTGAATAAGTTGAGAGGGTCCATCATGAAGGAAAAAAACAAGGCAGAGGGTGAATTCATACTCGAGGCTTTCTTCTTCTTCTGCTTCTTCTTTTCGGCATCAGAGTCGCTGTCGTTGCCCTGACCCTTCTTCTTTGTCTTCTTCTTTTCCCCATCTTCATCATCATCTTCGTCTTCTTCATCTGATGAGTGGATCCATTCGTCCATTTCTGAGATCTTGAAATCACCTGTGCATAGATATTTGCACCCTTATCTTCCAAGGGAAATATACCCTTCAATGAAATGCTACTGCTATCACACAAATAGAAATAGAAATTCAGCTCAAGTACAAAATGATTTTTCAATTTATGAGCACATATCATCAATAATTTAAGATCACCATCTTTAGGAGATTGGAACACCAGAAACAAAAACTCTGGAAGCAAGGGAAGCCTTTCTTACTGGAGCGTTTGTTAGATTTCTCCTTCTCTTCCTCTTCCCCCTCTCCCGCTTCATCTGACTTCAGCTTCTTTCTCATCACACTGAAGTAGTTCAAGATTTTGTCTCTCCTGAAAGACCAAGCACCCGAGTATTCCTATTGCAATATCATGTGAAGACATGGTAACAAAAGATACTCAGATGACCCCAAAAAAAAAAAACAGCTTAAAACTTTTTCACAAATGCAAACAGAACATGATTTATCAGCAAGAAATATTCAGGGTCTCACATTCAACTTGTATCAATGTTTTCATGGGAAAATATTGATGAAACTGATTAAATCCCTGGTAATCTAAGTGTTAAGGAACTGAGCAACAGCCTTTTCATTTCAATGATGTGGAATAACCAAGCACATCAATGTGCAAAACTGGGCTAATTTCTTTAATCATATTTGAATTCACCCTCATCTTAGCCTTGTCCATCCCAGTAAGCAGGCATAGATAAATACTCTAGCTCATTTTACACATGCAAAAAAGCTGCTACTTGGGGTTCTGGACAGTAAACTTCACAGAAAAGGAATTTGAAATGAAATTTTCATAGAACCAATTACATACATTGAATGGAATAAAGTGTGAATTTCTTGCTGACATCTTGTATCATGGCCATTTGCTCCCATGTAATGTTTGTGAATTTTTTGGGCCATCTGACATATCAAGAGTTACTACTTGTTCTAACCATATGAAAAAATATATATATATACTTGACAAATTCTTCCTCAGCCTCATCAGCTGTGAGGTGCTTGAATCGTGCAATTGGAACAAAGTTATACCAATCTTCAATTGGATATGCCTCAAATGCACCATCTGCAGACTGGGTGAAGATATAATACGAGGCATTCTCCTTTACGCCTCCTTCACGGGTCCCACGGAACCTGAGCAAGAAAAGGCATTCAAGGATCATTCATGTCAGAAGTCAAGCTAATACATTGCTTCATTTAAGCACTTTTACAATGCATGTTCCTTGCATGCACTTGGAAGCTACTGAGATTTCAGGAAATTTTCCAAAGCACAGCATTGTAAAGACCAAGAAAAAACCATAAACATAATATCCAAGGCCTTTCCAAGAGCCCTGACTCTGAAACAGGCACCTCTATAGTTGATAGTTCTTATTCTCATGTAAAGTGAACAAAGTGATGCATTGAATACATGAGTTGTGCAAAGCAATGTGTGCATGGATGGGTTATTGTTGCCTGTCAGCAAAAACCTATATGTACCAGCAAGGGACACTATGCAAAGTGTGCTAATACCATGTAATACCTCTCTAATACTACTAATACCTCTCTCAAGTGCTGATAGCTTATAATAGGTCAGCTGCAAGACTGTGGGTCTGATACTACAAAGGAAGACAAATAACAAACCTTTTGCCCGATTTTCCACCAAGTCGGAGATGCCATGGCTGATCTTCGGGCTGATACTTTTTTCCACCATATCCGTACCTCTTCCTTCTAGCTTCTTCCCTCTGCTCCCGTCCATATTCACTACCAGCACCGAACCTGAACAAATAAAATGAATGAGTCACGGAATAAAAGCTAACTATTCATACTACTTAGTAGCCAGCATCCTGGAACAAGCTAAAAATTCTCTGAACCAAATCAAAATTCAAGACTAGCACACAATGCATTTTGATCCTGGATCCAGAGCACTATAACTGACCTTAAGTATTATGCTGAAAGTATTTAGGCCTTTAATATAAAAAATTTTCATGAATAGCAGAAAAATCTTACTTGGGAGTTTCATCATCAGCTTTGAACTCCTTTGTATTGTCTTCCCTCTCCATCCTTACTTGAGACCACTTCTCTGGATTGACATTCAGTGCTGCATTGAACTTCATGATGCTGAAGCTCTTCCGAAAATTCCTGATGAAAAGATAAAATCCTCATATAGCAGCCTCTGCAAAGAACTAAATGTTAAACCATCCCCATTTGATCTTTGGCTTCTTGTTCCTATGAAAGCACTGATGGCTCAGATTGCTTTGGAGGAATATATGCTAGCCCTAATCAAAGACTAATAAGATTAAATCACTCTTATTCACAAAGTAATATTATGTCTCGCAATCTTAACAGAAAGGGTGATCCTATGGACCTAGCCTAAAAAGAGTCTACTATAGGTAGGTTTGGGCCTAGTCTAAGCTGCTCACTTGGGTACTCGGACTCCATACTCCTGAGTGGGAGGTTTTGATGCCATCATTCTTTTTCAAACTAATATCAGCATCAATCTGGATAAAGAGGAGAAAAAAGCCTGGGGTTAAATAGAACTGAGCGCCTACTGGCCTATATATAAACATTTGGCATTCACATCTTTCACAAATCAGCAGACTGCTCACCAACTACATACACACATTTTCATATGTATTGCAGGGGAATGCACTCAATTAAAAACTGCTGACATTGAACAATCTAACACTTAACACACATTCCAACCTTTATTGTGTAATTACCCTCCTACTTTCAGTCATCTTAGATTATGTATTTGTGACACTGTGGACATATAATGTACATTCACATGCATATCTTATGTGCATTTCATGCATAATCATGAGTGCAGGGAGCGAAGCACTCAGTTCAGCAACCTCCCATCTGATTCTACAATGTAATTGATAGACAGTTACTAGTTAAATCAGTTAGTTACTTTCAGAAACCATACTGGTCAGGTTTACAATCAGGCTAAGGCAGGCATCTCAGCCATCATAAATCAGTCTGTCCACCCATAACATTCTGAACATCTACTATGCCCTAATAGAATCATATGTAACAACACAGTGTCATGGTCTGCAGCTCTACAGCTACTAGTCAAAATTCTGCAAACTCAAAAATAGGCTTATTGAGTGATGTATGGCAAAAGTAATTAAAGCTCTCAAGCATCTTAAATTAAAACTGCAGTCTACCCTAATTCAGAACCCTTATTAAAGGATTAGTAAACCCTATAACCCCATTAAAATCTAAACTCAACTCCATACTAAGTTGCAACCAATTGTACGTATCTTGTTCTGTGTGACCATTCTGACTTCAATGACCCACTTTTTTCCTCCTCTCTCTATTAGATGTATCTTCTTATTCACTCACTTGATGCCCAACTTCACAGATTGACGACTCTTTAGATTCTCGCCTGATTGAGGAATAAAGATGATGATAATGATAAATGCATAAACTCAACAGCCATTATCAAGGCATAGTTTAGGGTTTAAGGCTGAAGGTTTACGGTTTGGGGTTCAAGGTATAGACTAAGATGGCTAAAGTCCAAGATGGCAAAAGTGGCGACACTCCGCAGCAGCGATCAGCATACACGATGATGCTTCCCACTTTGTCTAATTTATTGGGACAGAAAAGTTGGATGGAGACGACGACATGTGATGTGGCAGCAAGCAACGGCAGAGGCGGAGCAGCACTATGTGCTAGTTGTCACGGGAGGCAATCTTGTGCGTCTCATAGGCCTGCTTTCTCATCGCCTTGATCAGTCCCAACAAAGAAAGTGAAAAGATGCGAAGAACGAAATCGTTAGTGATTAAATTAACTCCCGTAGTTTAATTAAATTCAATTGCAATTCGTACCGCCACGCGGTCCACACGCTCTACGACACAGCCATGCTGCCAACACCGTTGCCGATGCCCACCGAGCAGTCCATGCGTGTCGTGGTCAATAACCGAAACGGCCTCGCTCGTCGCGGTGTGGTTTCCTCGTTGCATTTTCAAGTAAGTGAAGTGGCCGTCGGGTTTCGGCCAGAATCGAGGCGCTGGACGCTACTTGGTCCCAGGGCAGGAAAGTCCTTGAGGTTTAAAAGACCTTGATGCCCCACAAGTTAAACAACACTGGGTTGGCCATGACGATCAGGTGTTTCCCTTGTAGTCTTCATTTGGGCCATGGTCCACGAAGTTTTGGGCTCGGGAGCAAATTATCTGCAGATCTGTTCGATTTAGAGGCCTGGGACGCGTCCATGCCTCTGACATTGCAAAACGCTAGTGATGGTCTCATGAGAATTGCTTCAACTCTCCATGACTCAGAGATTTGGCGTTCGCCAGTGGCGGAGGATTACCCCAGGCGTAATTGCGCCTGGGACGCACTGGTAGGCCGTGACATTTCGCCAATGGCAGCCCTACGGTTGCCAGTGCCTACAAAGCTCATACGGGTGGTGTTAGATCACGTGTGACATTCGGGTGGGCAGGGCTGTTGATTGTGGGCTAAGATTCGTTTATTTGCGAAGGCCTAAGTACAGTTAGGCTTTATAAAATATCTTCATCTGGAACCTTATATGTTACAGTAATTTGGAAATTATTCAATACCACCGTTTTCAGAGTGCAATGTTATTTCTATGGTAAGCTCAAGGAGGTGATGTTGGATCTCCCATGATGGAGATGACATTAGGCCTTTGGAACCCATGTTAATGGTTGTATGAATTTGTTTGGATGTCGCAGTCATTTGATGAGGCTCTGCTTTCTTGTTTTGCTGTTAAGTATGCACCTAAGTTAAGTCCTTTTTTCTTCCATCTGTTTCCTCTTACTCCATTGTGTCTTTTTTCAACTAAGTCATCTGAAAAAAATCTCTAGTAAAGCCAAAATTTAACATATTGTCAAGATGGAAAGTTTTAGTATCAGTCAGGACAAATTTTTGCCTTACCTTACTTCATTATGTTAGGTAGATCATTTAGAAAATAGACAAAAGAGCAGGTCCTAAAATGTAACCTCTTTTAAACCTTTCAGTGCATTACCTATTGGTCCTTTGTCAACCACTAACCATTTCTTTCTTTTCACTGAAATACATTTTCCATAATTTTTCAATAAGTGTCAAATGTGGTACTGCATAAAATGCTTTTTTGCTTGGAATCTACAAATATAATCATATACATGGAATGATTATTCAGCTTTCCACATTCTATTACATGATTCATTTCTCACCATTAATCATGATGTAAGAAATTGCTCTTTCCTTACTTCTCTTTAATGCTATTCTCCAAATGGGAAGAACAGAAATAGGGCTCAGGCCACTTTGAAAGTACCTCATGCATCATTGATGTGTTGAAAATGCAACACATTGATATCACAGTTTTCATTCATGAGAGAGAGTTCCATACTTTTTTTTTTACATTGAAGGTTACACAATAGAAGGGGGAAGCTAGGAAAAGGTGAAATGAACAACAGGAGAATGGAAATAAAACAATGCAAATGAAAGAGTGAGAGAAAGATATTTGAGTTCTCTTTGGTCTATTTGTTTCTAGCTCTGACATCTCACATCAGAGTTAAAGGCATTTGCCATTCTTACAGTTGAGTGTGAGGGCAGGATGATGCAAACACGTTTTATAACGTTAATTTACTATGTATATGTACATTATGCTGCATGGTAGGAGTTGCACCAGGTTCAGAAAGGCTGATTGAAACCATGGGTATCAATAATGACACCATTGAGTCTGAAGCAAAGAAAACATTTTCATTCACATGTTCAAGGACATTGATCCTAACCTAGAAGCGAATGTACTTGATAAGCATCATTGATCCTAACCTAGAAGCGAATGTACTTGATAAGCATTTACAGTGAAAAATTATTTGATCTGGAAACTTTGAACTAGTCTATGTTGTATGCAGAATGGAATGCATAGGACTCTTGCAATTATTGACTTATATAGTTCCACTGGACTGATAGGATCAGAAACTGATGTCCATGATGATGTATTACTAGGCCATGTACGAAAGGGAAGATAGGGCAAACTGTTTTTTTTTCTAGAAGTGTGATATAGGCCTATATACATCTCTTGTATGATGACATGGATTTTTTTCTTATGCAGGTTGAAGTCTCTCAAGGGAAAATGATAAGGCTCTTCTCCTTAAAGCAGCAAAAAAAAGATGGAGAGAATGTCTCCAGAAGTGGAAACCAGAAACGAGCATCAGCAGCCCAGTTAAGGATCAGCAAAGGTGAGCTGCCAGATATTCCTCATGACAGGACAGGGTTACTTTTCCTCTACCTGGTGCATATAGCCTAGTGTACACGATTGGTTTGCCTGAGATTGTGCTCCATGGAGCTTAAAGTGAGACTTACTAATACAGTATTAGAACAATAACAGATCAGTTTATTCTCCTTTTTGTTTGCTCTAGCCCAGCAGTTTCTATGATTATTTAGCATCACCCCAAATTTTGCATGTCACCTAGATGAGGTTCATGAGATATGCCTTTTTTCATACGATACAAAGCATGCCAGCATAACTGGAGCTAAAATGTTGAACTTGCAGTTAACATGCATAGTAGTCAAGGTGAGGGGATAGGGAAAAATTAATCTTAACACATTCACTGACAGGGATTTAAATGAATGAAAATTTTCAACATACCTTCAGTAATGTTCAAGGGTGTGGTATCTTGTATGCAACCCTTGTAGGTGTGGAGATATTTGAATAACATCTCTTGGAGAAATAAGTAACCATTAGGAAGACTGCATGAAAACAGCTAATAGTCATGTATGGCCCTGGTGATTCATGAAAATGGCTATAGCTATATGGCAGTTGTGTGTTAAGGATGGAGTCCTCAATTCTAGAAATAACAGGTACCATTGAGCCCATTTTATACCATTTGAGAATATACTCTATTAGCCATAAAAGTGAATGAGAACCACACTAGTTGGTCCAAATGGTCCTGTTTTCTCCTCATCCTAAATCATACATAATGGGATATTCATGAAATGATGCACTTATCTGAAATATTCACTGGTTTGTATAAGGTTTGCATGTATGTGGAAAGAGGCCTACATAATCTATTAGGGTATAGAAAATCCTCTTTTGTTGCTGCTGAGAAGAGGACAGCCACTGAATTTAGAAGCTCCCAAAAAAATATTTGCTTTGTATATATTGAGTATGCCATGATTATACTTCATGTTCATCATCTTTTTCTTTTATTGCTTCACAGACATAAATGAACTGAATCTTCCAAAGACATGTAGTGTAGATTTTCCAGACCCTGATGATCTGCTGACTTTCAAACTTATCATCTGCCCTGATGAGGTGAGTGACAAGATCTACAGACTCCTTATGTCTCTGCTTTGAGCAATTGAAAAGGTTTTCACATGTCACATTCCCTTCTGAAAAAATTTTCAGGGATTCTACAGAGGCGGCAGGTTTAGCTTCAGCTTCAAGGTTGGCCCCAACTACCCGCATGAACCTCCAAAGGTGAAATGTGAGACGATGGTCTATCATCCAAATATTGACCTCGAAGGCAATGTGTGCCTCAACATCCTTCGGGAAGATTGGAAACCAGTCTTAACTATCAACTCCATTGTTTATGGTCTTCAATATCTTTTCCTAGTGAGTCTCCTCTTTTCGCGAGCTATTTTCCAATATTTATTTCATATTCAGAAAGTGAAAAAGATCAGTCCTACATGACACTGTTATAACCTCACTTCTCTTTCTCAGGAACCAAACCCAGAGGACCCTCTGAACAAGGAGGCAGCTGATGTGCTGCAAAGCAACAAACGACTGTTTGAGCAGAATGTGCATAAATCCATGAGAGGTGGCTATGTGGGATCTCACTATTTTGATCGGTGTTTGAAGTGATGAAGTGAAAATAGACTGAATGGTAAAAGCGATGTCAGATGACTTGAAGGGAATGCAGTGCATATGTCTGCTGCTGATTGCCCAAGAATCACGCAGCTGGCCTTGTGATTCAAAATTCAAAGGTGACTTCTCAACCTATGTATGCCCTGTTTGATGGGCCAACACATTTTCGAGCCCTCGTTTCTTTTCCTTCTGCTCAATTATTTTATAGCTCATCACTTGTTCATTTTCAGGGTGTCTTTCCTTTCCTATCTTGTTGAAACGCCTGCTTTTCTTCTATAGGGATTTGCCTTTTCTCTCACTGAGTTACTTGAAGAGACTGTCGGCTGTGTTCGATTCAACAGGTGTCCTTTTTCAGATTTCTTAGATCCACTATTCATACTGCCTGTTGCTGTCACACAGGAAACTGGATTTCTAATGGCAGATTGGTGGGACAACATGCATGTCTGCATGAGAATTTTTTCTTTCCCTAACGTATGTTCTTTATTTTGAAGGTTTATTTTTCATTTGAAGAGAAGCAATTTGAAAACATGATTCAGTGATGCTTATAGCAGTCTTTACCATTCATTTTGGCATATTCATTGTTTAAATGCCAGAAAGAATGCTGATGGTGAATTTAGACGCTCTAATAATGGACATTTAATGAGTTTCATAGAAACAGCTATGGGAGTTTGTTCTTTTTTTGGTCTCTCAAATACCTGTGGCAGTGGATTGAATTTATACCACTAATTTGATGCTGACTTTATCAACAACAGGTCTAATTACATTTTATGACTTTCATCTGTAAATTAACATTTGCAGAATCTCTGGCAGTGTCCTTCTTCATTCAGGATGTATTCAAGCAAAAAGAAGAAAATGACTGATTTCATTTAAGTTGGGTAATTTTTTGTTCCATAAAGCTGAGTTGGGCAAGGAGAATTTTTGATGCAAGATGGTCAGTCAGTTTTGGTAATTGGAGCAAGAAAGTGCATTGTAAGCCAACTTACAGTAAGCTTTAAGTGCAATAAGCCCGCTTGATGGAAGTTGGTTTCTGGCCATTGGTTAAGGAAGTCCCAAATCAATATTGGCAGACAAGTCCAACCAGGTTCCCAGCTTCAATAATCCTTTGTTATAGAATGAAGACCTGTGCAGAGCTGATGGGGATTATCAAAAGGCAACTTCAGATCTGAAACTTTTCTTTCAACTGCCATATCAAAGACTTGTGGGAAAGACATTTTTATGCCTATTCCATTCAACTGTGATAATCCCCATAGTGCATCTTGAGAGCTGTTCTGGTTTTGGTTATTTGCAATGTCCATTGTGAACTGCCTATCTGGTTTTCATCTATCCTACATGAATAACACTGCTATTTATAATTTAGTTGAGAATATCCATGGCTGCCACTCACCATCTGGACCACCTGTGATCCTCTAGTGCTTCATTGTAAGCAGGCAGAGTCCACATATGCACTTTCTCATGACATGTTACTCGTTGACATCTCAGTGTTTTAGTGGAAACCTGGTGGATGCTTACATGGCAATTTATATATCAATACCCAGTGAATGTGGGTTTCCAGACCTTTTGTACTTGAAATAAGTTGCAATGGTGAGCATGAAGGTATCAAGAACTAGAATTTCAATCAGTATTGACCCAAAAGGTTATTCAAATGCTATCTAGTTTGGAATGGAGGACAAACTGTCTAAATTCCAAGTACCATAAGGGAATAAATCCTCACCATGTAAGACTCATGATTTTAGCACTGCACCTCTCATGGTATGCTTTAAAGAGAGAAAATATGTTGCAATAGAGTGCTTGAAGACCATTCTACTCTGGAAATGATGATAGATTCACTACCAGTGCATCGTTTTTGTCCTCATCACAACTTCAACTGAGGGCACATGCAGGGCAACATTGGAATAAACATGTCATGTGATTTCATGTGCCTTTCCTTTTCCTTAGAAATAATGAGGCGAATCATTCGTCAGACTGCATTTCTTTTATACGTTGGAGAAGCAAAATTAATAGCATGGAACCTATGCAAGAGAACAGCTCAAGAGGACATGGAAGAAGAAGGGGAATTGAAGGGAGACCCCAGTTCTTCAATTAGGGCACAAGGAACTGTCTCCCCTTTATCACATGACCTTTCAGAAAAAAAAAAAACATTGAAATAGCAAACCAAAAAAATCCCACTGCCAGCAAAACACCCCACTGAAAGAACATAGAAGCATTGGGGATTCATGGACTGCAATCTGGGATGGAACAAAGTCCTACAATCCAAGTCTTTCCTCCTCACCTCTCAACTCCTACTCTAGAACGCAACCAACAAATTTGTACTGAGAATCAGCAATGTGCTCTGGGAAAGACCATACAGGCCCTGGTCTCTGGGGCATCTTGGCTTATTTCTTCTTGCCTTTATTTTTTCATTGCTTTTGAAAATTTCCTTCTTTGGGCATGCAAATGACATCTTGAAAAGGGATTTCACCATGATTGAGAACTCTGGACTGATGGAAATGAGAAAGTTCTATCAGATAAATTTCAATTGGCAGAGACTTGACATGGAAAGATTAAAACAGAAATAATGAGATGTGGAAGTCCAGAGTTCTTCACCATGTAATTGATCCCAATCAAATGACACAAGCAAACCGCAACCTATACTCATTTTTACATGGCCTTTCGACTTCCAACGAAAGGCAACTAGCCAGTGTAGGACTTCATTACTGATCCCTGATTGCATCCATGCCTTGTGTTCTTCAATTCATCAAATCCAACAAAAAATTGAAACTACACTGCAACATGATGGCTGCAAAAAGTTTTGCAGTTTTTCAATACTTTGAATTTTTCACAGTAACAAAGCAAATGAAACAAAGTATTTCTGGATCATCATGTGAAGAAATTGCAGAAAAAGAGAAAAAAAATACATCAGTGGGTTGAGCTCTACTTTTGCGGTTCCTGTCTTTGACTTGATTACCATGTATTCCCCATACCATTTCCTTCTTAGTGGCATGCAAAAAAGAAGCCTAAATCAACAAGTACAAGTAAGATGGGGCAGCCTGGCATCATTGAAGGGACATGAAATTGAAAGAAGTGGGGACTGTTTGCTGCTGGAAATTATAACCACCACTTGCTGCAATGCGCTTGCTTTCAGCAGCAGCCTGCCTCCTGTCAGCCAGACACAGGATCTCTTGCACAGACTTCTGTTGCTCCACATTCAGGTGAGCAGTGAGAGCTGCATACCAGTTTGGGTCGCTACTCTGGATCCCTGGAAGTGATGAAAAATTAGTAAAATTGGCAGTTTATAATGAACTCGTAATGAACTCATTGAATTTCCCAAAATCAACATAGCTCCTTGAAAATGCTTAAACAAGTCTTAGTGAAACTCTTTGGTTATAATTCTAAGCTGCAACTAGCCCAACTCACAAGCAGAACTAATTTTTGCTTCTGCATTGGCTTCCTGTGCCAAAAAAAGTAGTAATTTCACTATTCCTTGTGCTCTGTTAACAGTCATCTAGCATACTAACATGAACTTCTCAATAATGAAGAATAACTCACTCTGCAGTACATCCTTGAAGACCAGATATTCATCAATGGGACAGTCATCAATGTCCAGAGGAGTGGTGAATGTCTCCAGACTCTCTTCATCCGATGGAAGGAAATCTGAATCGTCATCATCGTCATCTTCCTGCAAAGCAACACTGAAACTTGGAAACACTGTCACTCCTCACAGAAAGGAGACAAAGGGGCATGGAACTCACCCCAATGGATGTGGTGATGCCAAATGGGCTATGGGGAGCATTTTTCTTGATTCTATCTTGAAGAGCTTCTAGGTACTTGGCTGAATCATAATCAACCTCGTCTTCATCACTGGCCAACAGGGCTGCAATGATATACAGCAAGACATACCATGACAACCATACATTCATAAATATGCAATTATATGGTATTGGCACCCCATGAAGTTCAGAAATATATATACCTTGAAGAGACAAAGGAAAGTTTCTTACCATTCTCAATATCTTCTTCATCCTCTTCCTCCTCATCTGAAGATCCCTCTGTCTCTTCTTGAGCTTTGGCTAATAAAAAAGATTCAAGGAAGCCAATCAATAAAAAAACTTAAATCTATTTAATGCTCAAAGGAATATTTAAAAGGATGGCTCAGCATTACTGACCTTCATATGCCTTTTTCAAGCCATCAAAGAGGAGAATGAGAGATGGAATGATCTGGGTAGCACACTCATTGATGACTGCTGGCCTGCCTTCCACCTGTGATATCAGTGTGCACAGGCCTAGGATGCAAAGCTTCCTGTTGTGCAACCTGCAGTAAACAAGATTGACAATTACTCTGAAAGGAAGAAAACCAGATCTATTGCCTCATGCAGAATGAAAAATCACCCAAGGAAGCAGTCTGTGTCATGGATCCACTGTTTGACAAAATGAGCCATAATGGGCTCATTGGTGTTGGGAAGAGTCATTTTGTTGAGGGTGTCAAGGAGGAGCTGAGGGTTGTAGTAGAGGGCAGCTATCACGACTTGAAGGCACATGGTACGTAGTTCCGACGTCTTCACTTCCCGCAGCAAGCGGTGAAGTACCACTTCCACAAACGATGGGATGCACTAAAAAAAATGTATGCATTGACATGAGCTGCAACTAGTACTGTGCACAAGAGCAATATTCAGTTTAACAGCATGCCATGTTCCACAACCAAATATCATCCAATGACACTTTCACAATGCATTCGGACTACAACAGCTACTCGATACCCATGGCACAACCACATTTGGTTGAGACAAAAAATTCTTCAGTCACCATGTATATACAGTAACTGTGTTCCTATAGATGCTAGGTTGGCGATAGATGAATCCTTCACCCCAAGAATTTTGTAGGACCTGTTTTTTGCACTTACATGTCTGTAACACATTTCCATCCAGAGGACATGTCCTCTGAAAGCAACTAGCTCTTCACTGCACACACTGTAGAGTCATAATACTAGTTCTCTAGTGGGTTAAGGCCCCAAGAGTAGGGTAGCTAGCATTTGTCTTAACATTGGACTCCTCATCACTGCATATTTACCTCACATTTTCCTTGGGATTACTGGAGGAATGGGCAGAGGTTGAGGAAGCTGTTCAATGCACAATATCCCTTGCAGATGAAGGTAACAAGTGTTGCTACCCATATCCTGTCCTCTAGCCAGGCATGTCTGAAGCCCTTTTTTCCCCCCACTCTCTCTCCGCATCACCCCTTTGTCTTTTCCCCCAAGTGACTGATCAATACATTATTGGCAATAAATAATTGCTTAAAATTCCATAAGATTGAGCCAGTGCACCCAGGATTAGTATTTTTCATTTGGTTAACAATAGTATCTAACATCTGCTCATATAAGACTCCAGATTTCTTGTCCTTGCTGTCTCTGTATTCATTCAAGATTGCAGTTAACTCCAGTGAATTCAAGCTTTAGGGGACAGGCAATTTTGTCTAGATTAATGCCTCTTCTATATCAACAGAAACCTGACAGAGACACCTTTATTTTTCCCTAGCAAAGAAATTACATCCCAAATGCAATGTCAAAATCATTAACTGTAAAAAAAAATTGTACTTTCATGCAAATGAGAATCTCTGAGCCAGTTCTTTTCATGAATCATTTTGAATAAATACCTTTTCCTGTCTTGATTCAAGTAAAAACTCTTCTGGTGTCAGTTCACAACAAAGAGGCTTACAAATAAAGGATGGGAGGTAAGAAGCTTCTTGAGGCTCTAATGACAAGGATGGATGACACAGGTGGAGGGTAATGACAGGAAGCTCAGAAGGTTTTTGTGATGAGAACAATCCTGATTAGCCCAATTCCAGGAAAGGAAGGGGAGGGGGGGGAACAATCCAGATGTTTTTTCTTCCCAACTCTTTCTAATTGGCCCCGGGGACAAAAGAATTCATCTGTATAAGAGGGAGTTGCAAGATGATGATGTTCACATTAAATTGAGAATTAGGAGTTTGATTTTATGGGATTTCAGCCAGGAATATTCCTCATCTGAATTGATTGGAGCATGGGCTTAGTGATGGTGTAAATGGCAAATGAGAGTTTATAATTTTTTTCCAGTCAGACCATGTTTTACATTATGATGAGTCATTTAAAAAGCCACAAAGACAAGCAGGCACAGAATGGGAGAGGAATGACAGGAAAAAGTCACCTGATCAATATGTCCCTTGCACTGGAGAATAATGACTTCCAAGAGTTTGGCAGCATGACATTCTGTGTCCTCCCCTACATCGGAGGTCATCACCTGCAACATTAGACAAAAACGTTTTTCCCACCCCAAGAAACTTAAAGAAGGAAGGAGGTCATTTTTCAGGGAACTCACAGCCTTGGACATGTTGAACATGGCCAAAACATGAGCTTGATTTGAGAGGAATGCTGGTGTATCTACAGTCACATAATTGTGGAGAGCAGGCATGATCTCATTGAAATAGTCAAATGCATCCTTCTGGAACGCCTGTACAAAAAAAAGGGAGCAGATTTTGTATGTCTCTAACTGGATAGATCAGTGAAATGCACAAAAAGGAAGGGGATGTATCACACCTGATACACTATCTCCAATACATTCCACATGTGAGGAGTGATTGAGTGGCATGTCATTGTGTAGACCAGGGAGAATGTCTCTTCATAAAGTTCTGCAACATAAAAAATTAATGAAAGAACCATTACAGAGAAAATAACACATGACTTCTTTCATATAAAAAAAAAATAAGTAAAATAGATTGTACCCATGATGGCATTCTGAAGAATGTGAACTATGATCTGAATGGCAACAGGCTCAAGCTGAGCTCTCACAGCAGGTTCTTCATCAAATGCTGCCATCATCGTGTCCATGGTGTTCAGGAGTCCCATGGCTGAGATCGCCTTGTTGTCATCATCTGCACTTTCCAGGATGTTCTTGAATGTCTCCACCTATCAGTCAACAACCCTTATGCATACTTGAACAAATAAAATTCAAAAGCCAGACAAGGATAGATGGGGTACCAGATGCTGCATGATGTCGACAGCAACGGGAGCCAGCTGCTCGTGATATGTGCAGACGATGCGCTGGAGAACATTGGTCAGGTCTTCGTTTTCTGTCTCTCGAATGATCTTCAGCACTTCAAATGTTATCTCTCGAATCTGGAAATATGAGGCATCCCACAATGACAGCAGGAAATTTTAAAACGACATCGTCCACAAGAGCCCGGGAGACCATACCTTCGGAGAGATGTACGGAACGACCTTCTCCTCCTGGCTGGTGAGTAGCATCTGAAGGCCGATGGCAGCTTCCACGCGAACAGGTAGTTCCTTGTCCGTGAGGAGGCCTTCCACAGTCATCTGAATGGCCATGGCCAAATTATTCGGATTCTTGAATGCAATCTCGGCAAAATAATGGAGGGTCCAACACGCCCTTGCTCTGAGGAACCCTTGCGGGCTCTTGAATTCAGGGAAGAGGTAAGTAACCAACACGGTCTCCATCTGATCCTTGTACAACTGCTTCTTCAGCAAGATGTCTGCCAGGGACCCAACCTGTCACAGAATTAGAAGGCATAAACTTTGGAGAAAATAGAGAGGATGCAGGTAACCCATTAGCCCTACTGGCCAAGTATGCCTATTCCATTTTAATTCTTTGCATGCTTCTTTGATTCAATCAGCAGTATACACAACCATTTTGTTCAAGCAAAACAATATCGGAAAAACGATATTGTTTTGCTTGAACCCCTCTAAAAAAAAAAGAGTGACCCTGGGAGTTTGTACCTCCAAAAGTAGGAATTTTCATGAAATCAGCACCATGATAGTTACTTGTGCACTAAATTTCTTCTTTTTTTTTAAAATCAAATATGAAGCATGCTCAGAATTAGTGTCAGGTAGTCATTCACTCACGATCACCTCTATACCTGTATATCAAGCTTTGTACTCTTAGGACCTGGGCCCCCCGCGGCCACAGGGTCACTTCCGCTAACCCTGTGTGGGGGTTGGGGTGACAACGAACTACGTCTGCAAAAAAATTAGTAAACTTTTCAAACGTTCCCAGTATCATAGTAGCAGCACTATTCTCCCCTGGGCAAAAAGGATGTGAGATTGGAATCTTATCAGTGGCGGATACAGGGGGGGGGGGGGGGGGGGGGGGGGCCCGCCCCCCCTATGGTCAGGTTAGCATTTGATTTATTTATTCAAAAATAGCATCTGCATTAAACTTTATTGGAACCAATAAAATAGGCACTCTAGTTTTACCCCCGAACGAAAAATAAAAAAGGCGATAGCTAGTGAAATAGAAACTCAAGTTCTTACCCCAGATGAAAAATAAAAAAGGTGAAAGGAAGAGGAATGATGGTAGACTGGGGGGGTGGGGGGGGGGGGGGTAGGAACTTGGGAACCGCCCCCCCTATGAAAAATTTCTGTATCCGCCACTGAATCTTATGCCGTGGGCGATCACGCAATATGTAACAGCACCATATCTTCAGATCATTTCAGCTCAGTATCTGTACTCCGTGTACCTGTTCTTCAATATTCTGGTCATGTTAACCCATTGCACCCAACTAGGGATGCGCCGATACAACGTATCAATATCGGCCGATCTCAAGTGGATCGGCTAGGATCGGTAAAGGCCGATCCGCTCTCATTCTCCGCTGCCGTACGTCCTACTTGATGCGCAGCTCAACGAATTTTCGGAAAGTCTCACGAAAATGAACCACTCGTATTGGCGTACGGTACCTCAAGTCCGTCAAAGTTTTAGTGCAAATGCCCGACTGATTGACAACGAGCTTGCGCAACCTAAAAGCGGAATGCAAGAGATACGGGAAGAGCATCGCAACGGAACATGCTCGCCATACACGCACGTAGGACTTCCCTCACTTTCCCTCCTTCCGTTCTGTCCCCTACCTTACTGCGCCGATTGGTTCGCGCAGGCGCACTCAAGTGTTTTCGTCCATTCCGCTTCCGACTCTCTTCCCGCGAGCATCGATTCTGATTCAGGTTGCTTGAACTCCTTTTAACCCCTTATGGAGATCGGGCGTAGTACCTACGTCCACTCCTTGCCCCGATCGTCATTTTGGCGTAGCTCCTACGTGGGACGGGTTTTTGGACGGGCCCAGGTGGGTGGCGGAAGAAGTATTGGCCTGTACTCAAGAGGTTAATAATAAATTGGCCAACGTAAATGTCTTCAGAGCCAAATAAGTGGCAATGCCTTTGAGTGATGTCTACCCTAGTGTCCGAAAATATGCCTACGGTAGAAATATAGGCATGGGCCTGTACTGTCGTTTCACTTCTGACGGCCACTGGAAAGTATTGGAATCGACCAATACCAAAAAATTGAAATCGTTATCAGTATCTGATATGCAGTAAAAACTCGTTAACTGGAACTTTTTGGGAGCGAGCAAATCATTCCAATTGAACCGAAGTTCGACCTATCAGGAATTGCTTCTACCAGTATTAAAATTAAAAAAAATTACTCACGTTAAGGGACATAATAGGGCGATTTTTCCGTCCTAAAAAAATCTGATTTCAGGAAGCGACGATCTTCTCATTATAATTGGCTCTCATTCACGTCTAGGGTTGACACTCCATATGCGAAATTCATTATCACAACGCCCTTCATCCAGTACTCCGGAAATCAAATATGACGAACGGTCGGAAGTGAGACAGACAGGGAAAGTGGTAGTGGTGCTTCGTTTTATGGCTGAAGCTTTCCGGTTTTAATCCTCAGGTTTTATCCTCTCCACAGGCCTCAGTGAGGGAAGAGGGAGAAGCAGAAGAATTAAATAAAAGGGATTTTCTCCCGAACAGGTTTTCTTGCCTCTCACCTACTCAACAAATCGATAGGTCCCAAAATAATTCTTCCTCTTCACACCTTGACTTCCAGTTAACCATGAGAAAATCGTAATCGGGCGTGAAATTTTCGTTCCAGATATCCGGAAATCCGAGATAAGCGAATTCGAGTTAAACGGAATATTAAATATGGTGTCTTACGGGATTCGGCCGAGACCAAGCATAGAGAAGTTCGAGATGAGCGGAATTTCGACTCATCAGGATTCGAGTTGAAGAGTTTTTACTACACCTGGATCGGTGCATCCTTACACTCAACACAGCATTGCATAACTGCACGAGTGAAGTCCATCAACACCGTTGTTCAAGGAAGAACAGCGCAGAAAACCCCAATGAATAATTTTTTCTTCAGCTCAAAAATATAAGTTGCGTTAAGTCTTCACTTATTTCATCTCTGCATAATAGCAAATGATATTGGCCAATTGGTTTTCTCTCAAGCTACGAACTAAAAATGGCATGCTGGTTATTTTCAATTTGATATAGGTGTCACATTTATATAATTTAAAAAGAAAAATTATATTTCACCATGTTGACGTCAAGACCAAAAATTCCTGGTCACAACAGAGAAACACACCCAACAGTCTTTTATGCAGATCACATTCACCTTCATGCTTTTGTTCAGGCAAGTGTGAAATTCCTTATACCTAATTGATGCTTCTACAATCAGACTTGGCTCCAGAATTTAAAATATATATTTCTAATTACTTTAATGGCACTGGTGGCAATTTCTATTACTTCTGCCCAGTAATGCCTAAGAACATGGCAACATCTATAAGGAGGTTAAAGCTGCATATTTTATATATAGTCACATAATCATTGCAGGCATAAAAAAGATACACTGAGATACTAGCTGGTATTGTTAATCCTGGCAAGCTTGGCCAGTAGCTTTGGTATGCCAATACAATCACATATTGAAATAAGAAGGCATAATCATCCTAGCATCCATTAAAAATACTCATACTAGTACAGTACTTTCCAAAAATGACAACCCACCTTTCATTAACCATATCTTTAGTTTCAACATTTAACATTTATTTCCCATGGTTCCATTTTTTTAATTCTGCAGGATAAGGGTTTTGACACTGCACAAAGTTTGATGATTCCACCAAACGCTAGTGAAAGCAGACATGTTCAAACATTCAGGTGACTATACAAGAGGCATACTTTCTCATTAAAAAAAAAGTGAGCTTGCTCAAAAGAGCTTTTCTAAAGGGAAAGAGACTCACCATGTGGAAAGCACCATCCTTCTGCCGAGGATCTGCCTGTTGAGAGGTCACAATCTGCATGAGAAAACCCATAGTTCTCTGGAGGACATCTTTCCTCTTCTTCACAACTGAATGCAGGATGGTCTGTGCAGCAGTCACCGGTGATACAAAGTCCTCAAACACATCTACAGCAAGAAATCAAGGAATGAATCTAAAGATCAGATGAAAGAAAAATGTCTCCACCTCAGAATAACAAGTCCATCGTGTTCGCAGCATCAAGTGATTTCATGGACATCAATGTCCAAACCTAACTGTAAAATTTACATCATGTGGGTATAGTGAATGGGCCTACCTATTCTTCCTCTTCACATTAAAAGGGGTTGGTAACACACCAATATTCAAAGTTAGAATGTTCGTTCCTACAACCTTAAAAAAAGTACACCCTAAAGTGAATAGGACAATTAGATGATGTTAGATCTGATCACTAGGCCAGAACAGTCCAGTAAGGGAGGAGGAACAGTTACACAGATCAACCAAAATATATTCTTCACTATTCAAACCCTTCCAATACTTTGTCTTGTGGTCATATTTCCTTATTTTCATAATTATTTATTTGAAACCCTCTACTGGTCCCAAAGGCCATATCATAGAGCCATATAATATTTATTGCCAATTAAAAGAATTAACTTGAAAAGGTGAAAGTTTACTCCATGACCTGATATGCTGCTGCAATAATTTTTTCCCACTGGAAGTTGAGCACAAACCAAACATCCCTGAGAAGTGACAATTTAAATCAATATATATTAGCAACAGGATTTTGGTAATCTCATCAGTCACTTCCAGATCACTTTGAATCCAGGTGTGCTCAACTTGGATTGAACTTGGAAGCCTGTTCCTTGCTTTGAGCTCCTTGGCTCTGCTCTTAACCTCAAGGGACATAAAAACCCTTCAAAGGAGTCCCACTCCATGGGGCAGGGTTCATGTTTGACTTCAAGAGGGTGACTACACCTCAGGAGTCAAGAACAAGCCTTTGAATAAAAGGGAAGTATGATGTACAAGCACACCCCTAAATTCTCACAAAACATTGGAATGAATGTTAGCAAGACGTGAGATTCACTTGCTGAAATCACCTCTTCCAAGACCATCACAAGAAACAGAAGATGGCTATAGTGGGCAGGAATAAAAAATGTATTAGGTTTCATTACAACTTCTTCACCTTAATTGCAGAGATTAACACACCAATGCAAAGGATGGCCTTTTGTGTGGTGAGAAAACATAACTCCTATTTATTTTTATATATCATCTGCTCCACATTAAAAGTGACTTGCATTGAGAACATATAGAATCACTTTCTTTAATTAGAAACATCTAAATGTGTGTGACCATGCAGAGAAACAATTTGACATGAACAGAATGCGTATCTCACTAGTGCTCAGTATGCCATAGCACATAAATAGCACCAATACACCTTCAATTCCTAAATGTGATGTGTAGGTGGATCTAAAAAAAAATTAGATTAATTTCACTTTCATGCACACTCACCAAACTTCAACCGGATGTATTCATGAGGATCGCTCTCCCAAAGTTCTGCATCTGTATCCGAATAGCACATGAGGGGGAAGATGACTTCTTGAACCACCCAGTCCATGTGTGGCTTCAAGAATTTCCAAGAGAAGGCATGCCGCACCCTTCACAAAGCCATGCAGTGCAAATAGCTGAATGATTATGCTGGCATCCAGAACAAAACCTCAATATGTTAGCATACAACACAACTCACGCCTCGTTGAGGTAGTTGAGGCACTGCTGAAGGACACGAGGAGCAATGTAGACCTTTTTTCGGTACATGTCGCAGATCCCCAGAAGGACACCTATTATACCACTTGAAAAACTCTTCAAATACCAGTTGGCAAACTCATCATAGTCCTTGTTGACATTCCCAGGACTGCCATACCTGTAACACCAAAACATTCTGCAGGGTTAAGGCACAGGACAAGACACTCTAACGGAAGACAGAGTCAAAGAGTCATACCGATCAAACATTCGACAGAGAATGTGAGTAGCCCATTTCTTGGATTTCCACCAGGGCAGCTGGGCCCTTTCATCTTCATCAACTGACAGTGTTTCCTGGGGCACTGGTTGTTCCAACACCATCTTCAGCAGATCCATCCACCGTGTGAACATGTCCTTTGATATCACATCCGTGGGAAGGAAATACTACCAAGGCAGAAGATGCAGTAAGTTCAATCATTGCTCTAACAATAAGAAACCTCTCCAAGGATGCAACTCACTTGAGTAAAAGAGAAATAAATCTTGAGTATCTGCTTGACAAGGAGCACGGACTTGTCCGAATGATCAGGGACAAGAAGCACACATCTTTCATACAGCATCGGGAGGAGCACCCTCATTGCCTCATGCAGGGCCTTCCGATTCTCCACATTCTTGAACCTGTAGTGGTGACACTCATCACTCAAAACTCTTAACAGACTCAGCCACTGTAACAATCATAGGTACAAAATCTGAATGGGACTCACTCATAGACCTTGACAACTTGATAGAGACACAGCAAGGCTCCAAACCAAAGGGAAGTATCAGGGTTCTGAAGATATATCCCCACCTTCTGAATCACATTTGGCCACTTCTCCAGCAAATCATGTTTCACAATCTGATTAACACAGACAGCTAACTGCAACCTGTGAAGAAGGAAAATGATGGTAATTATGCATAATGGCATCAAGATAAAAATCACTCTAGAAGGAAGCATATAATCTTCAGATTTTCAACTGCACTTAATCAAAAGGTGCTATGGTGAATAGAGAAATACTGCATAAGAAATTAATGCAAGGCAGATTTCCCCCCTCATGACAGTTACTGAAATTGACTTAGAACTGCACAAGCTAAAGAAAAGAAGAAAAAAAAAGGCTAATTATAAAAGATGAGTCATTCAGTCTCTGGAAGAATAGCACCACCATGACAAATGTACAATAATATACTTCCAAGAATTTGCAGCTTCAAGAGGATTGCCTTGACTTGGCATAGACTGATATCTTCACTAAATCTACTACCATCATATGACCATAATGAATGAGATAAACAGAAAGAAGAATTGCACCATACCGAAGCTTCTCAGGTGCATGAGCAGTAGCATCAACAATGGCATCCCTTAACAGTGTACGATCTTGCTCATGGATGGAGAAGGGAGCAGGTGCCCCAGGCTCAGTTTCTCTCTCTTGCCAATACTGTTGGACTTCATTCTTGAGGTAGATGGCAGCTGTCACACAAGATGTGACACAAGACATGACAAATCACACATCAGAGAATAACATTTCCCACTAAATTGATGGGGTTCTAGTTCCTACCTGCTTGACGAACTGGCATCTGCACCTCTTCAGTCATGATGATTTGCAGAAGTTGAGGGCAAAATCCAACGATCTTGTGAATCTGCAAGTTAGCAAGTTACCATTTTAGGAATTGCACCTAGGTGTCATCCCATTTATTACATAAGACAGCCAATCAGAGGTAGGCATCACTGATCTCTGTATTATCCTTAAACTAAATGTATCTGATCATACAATGGACTGGCTCTCAGCAGAGATTCAGGAGAGCTGAGCTGGGCTTGAATCATTGGCTGACATGACATAAGTTGTGATTGTGCTTGATTACATTACTCCACTTCTATGTAAGCAAGCCAACAGATGAGCATCACATCATACATTTCAAAATCACTGATGGCAAGAGAGTTGCATTTCAGCTGCATGGATCTGCGCTAAGAATGTGAGGCTGACAAATTGATATGTGGTTCTAGGGTAATTGCACTAATACCTCAAACCCACATACATAGTAACATGGAAGGCCCAGAGAAGATGTGGGTCACTAACCACACATGCTCCTCCCTCACCTAACCACTGATCTCTAGGATAACTAAGTAGCATTAAGTGAAACAGTGAAAACACATTTAAAGATAGTAAATTGAAGTGAAGAGCTTCATAGAATCTATGCCAATGCATATATCAAATTTATATTCTCAGTCATTTGCATGCAATGATTTTGAACTCTTACATGCAAACAAGATCTACACTGCTTTAGCCTTGTAGGCCCATCACTCATAGGGTGAACAATTATGCATCTTGCCAAATGCTACTGAAAGTTCTCTCCCTTCATTCCAACATTACAGATGGCTTCCAAGCTTGATCAGCCTAATCAAAAATTATTCTCCTAATTAGGTTAAGTTTTTCAACAAGTCTATCTTTTAGCTTGGGAAAGGTATAGACTTTTGCTTTTAAACAAATTTTAGATAAATTCAGATGAAGTTTGTCTTTAGTTCAGACTTATATTAAGTATGTAGTAACATCCAGCAATGGCAAGGTGGAGTCCCCTGGCTGAATCAAGATGGCCAAAAGTGGGTGGATAAAAAATCGGTAAAAACTCTTCAAAGAGCACGACATCGATACTGCCATATTCTCAATCTCTGAGAGTGGACACATAATATGAGACATGATGCAGTTTGGAGGAGAAAGAACATGGATTCCTGCAGGGAAGGCCCTGAGTCAGTAGTTTGTCACAAACAAAGTCCTGTCTAATGATTCAGCTTTGCAAAGACTCATGAGACCATTTATTATAAATAATGGATAGCACCACTAAACTAGGGACATTTAGATGGGATAGAAACAGCCTCCCTGTTGGAGTGTCCCCTTCAGATCAGATGGAGAACATTCATAGCCAGGTAAACACATTTTCTAATAAATTATTCTTTACTGACAAGTTGAATTCCATGTCATTTTGTTTTTGGATGGTTATGACCATTCATACATGAACTTGGATTAATTCCCAGGAACCAAAATATAATCTTGTAAAGCATTCCTACATGTAACAATCATGTCATAGACCTTGATGTGAAGTTCATATACAAATTTTAGAGAAGCTAGCTGATGCCCATCTAAAATCTTTCATTCATGCTTCCTTAAGGGATGAGATGATCCTCCAAAGATTGCCAACATCACTGTTAGTTCAAGAAATGTGGCCTAGTGCTGCTGAACCTTTGATCATAGAGAACAACACACTCAAGCTTCCTGGAGTCTTTCAACTTTCCAGTATATGTGAAGAAAAGCTCTTCACAATGACCAAAACAGGACAGACACCTGATATCAATTACTTGCTTGGTCACAGATATTGGAGTCATCTTTCTTATGGATGGTGTGAATGTGAATTTCTTTTTAATGGGCAATTCCAAAGTTACTGACGTAACACTGTACTCAAAACGAAAAAGTGTACAATGGTATACCTTAAAGGTAGTTCAGTCCAGAAATTGTACTTCAACATTGCCTCATAGAGCATAGAGACCTGTACCAATTCTGGCCAAAACTTTCTTAGCTCTCCCATGGATTAAAAAAAGCAAGGCTGTTTAAGTTGGGCTACTGACTTAACAGTTTTAAACAACAGTTTTCATTCTGCTGCTTCCCTTTCAATTCTATCAGATTTGGCCTTACCTAAAGCTTTCATGTTTTCAAGAAAGAAGGCATTGACCATCACCTTTATCCATGCCAAATGACATTTATTGTTTCTATAAAAAAAAAACTAATTGGCTCCTAGCCAATTCATTTTCCAGAGTTACTGATGTAACAAATTAGTCAAAAAGGGAGTTTCACCAGGCTAGAGTTGAATTCATCAAAATGGAATGGTGCAGGAGTATAGAAAACCATCCCACACCAGATGATGAATGCATAGAGGAGTTTTATTTGGCAGAAGTTTAGTATCCATACATAGTAGGAAAAACAAGTTGAATTACATTTTTGGAAACCAATCTTTTATCACTTTTGTCAAAATAACTACGGAACTGCCCTAATGAAAATTGAAATATTTCAGAAAATCATAATTGAGGAAACAGGTGAAAACTTTTCAAGTGTGGAAGAAGAAATCACCAAACATACACCATTTGGAGACCTTGTCTAAACCTACAACAATCCTACAGTTCTGCAAACGAATAGAAATATGATTTTTCCAATGCAAATGATCAAGAGGCTAACCTTGACAGCAACAATGAAAGAGATATTGCTGAAAAGATGCCACCTAGAGAAAAAGGAAATTCCATGCATCCATAATATCCATTGAGAAGAATGAATATCTACCAGTCTCTGAAGGATTAACCTCCAAGGGACTTCATGATAAATATGCAGAATGTTAATAAGCAAAAGGTGGGACTCTACTATTTTAGGCTGGCTGAAGATAATGCAAGCCATGCTACAACAAAGATACAGCCAATCCTCATGAACCTAAAAGTAAAAACTATCGCATGATAGTTTTTTGCAATCAGCATGGCAAATGCTTGTCTATTCCTTTTTTTTTCCAGAATCAACACTTGAGTTATGAGAATTCATTCTTCATGTATGAAGAATTTAGGAGCAGAAATTTCTTTCAACCCTGATGCTTCAGACATCCCAAATGCCATTGCACTAAAAATTTGGGAATTCATTTTCCAATACTGTGGAAACCCCCAAGGGAGTTCCTTCAATCTATGCCTATTTAATTGATTCCTCTCTTCAAACTGCTACTGAAGAAACTCAAGAAAACACTAATACCTCACTTCCTCATATTGCTAGTCATTATAGTCATTAAAACGAATCTCTTCATATTTGATGACAATGAGAAGTACAGCTGTTTGGTGTTTCACAAAGCATCTCTTATTTTTCTGAAGTATTTCATGAGGATGAGGATCAGTGATAACTTATCTCCTTTTCTATAACCTATGAAGGTGATTTTGAGCTTAGAAGGCCTGAAGTCAAGCCTGAACTTAAATTAGCTTTGCGAAATTATTATGGGAAAGTGCGATTAGGCTTCTTTCCTGCTTCAATGCTTTGGTCAAAAAGAAAAATCTACAAATGAAAAATGCCAAGGCGCATACTTTACTTCACCTTTACCAAAGCTAACGTTATGCCAAGGCCTGAATTGAGTTCAGACCTAGCCATGAGTTAAAATATGCGTACGGTAAGCATCTCGTAGGCCTGATACGCGTACCTGATTGAGCTGGTCTTCAGCTTCCCGCTGAAGAGCCGGGCTGGTGGTTCCCCGAAGGAGTTCTACGATCTTCCCCGAATCCATGATGAAAGACTTTTCAGCAGAACAATCAGCCACTAGTCAACAAGTGAGAAGGAACTCCCAATCCACTCTAACCCGACTGGTCTCACCAGTCCAGGTCAGTCCGAGGGCCCACGTTTTTTTACCACCCCTGACGTGTGAGCCGCCACGTTTATTCCCGCTTTCCGAGAATGTTGCCCCCTGCTGACATCTCCCGGCTCTCAGTGGAAACGTCGACTGGCACCTCTCACTACTAGGTGACGGACGGCGCCGCGGCCCTCCATCTTCCCCCCCCCCTCCGACCCCAGTCCCGTTCCCACCGTCCTCCCCGCGTGAACGCCGGAGCCCCGCTCTCGCGAAGCACCTCGTCTCCCTCAGAATCCCCAACTCCTGCCGTGAGGACTTTCCACTTCATCTCCCATGCATCGTTCGCGTGCCATTTTTCATTTGTAGATT